CATTTTTCACTTCATTGAGCAAATGATTCCGAGTAACATACTCTTTGCCATCACTTGTAAAGAGAATATCAATAGCTTTTGATTTGACTAAAATCGATATCAACTCCACGCAGTTATTCTCCGATAGTCTGAAAAGAAATGGCGGATGTCATTTTCATTTCTTCCCGAATGGATTTCGAAAAAAAAACAATGAGGAATTTTACTTTTTCGAGCTTTCTGCCAGCTGTATTCGTTGAAAATCAGCTGCTAAACGCTGTATATCCGCCCATGTGGCATTCATTGTCTCAAGCTGAAATGAATAAAATATTCGTTCGGAAGCACATACAAAATCTAACAAAGTTGCGCGCATTTCGGTTAGGCGTGAAGAAAAAACCGATTTTTACAATCAATAAGTAAATCCTGAATAATTCCTGAAGTTGCGTTCCTGCTATATGTAAAAATGAAAGTTTGTAAGAAAACAACACAGTTGAACACTTAATTCTCAAGACATAATAAACAGTACCAAATTCCTAAAAACATCACATGATGTCTGAGTTTTGGGGATTTGGTATTATTAATGTTTGAGCTTTTTCCTCACTGTAATTCTTAAATTTTTATTTCACAACTTTGAAAAATTCAGGCATCCATATATTTCGGACTTCATTTGAATTATTCTATTGAATTCATTGATCTCAAGTAATTTTTAAAATTCCAAAAGACGAATGATAGAAAAATACCATGAAAACTGCAGTTTGTAATTTGTTATCCTTTTATCACATGAAGAATGACATCACAGCTGCATATCACTTACAAAGATATGATCAGTAGAATAAATTGATACAAAATAGATACCTAACCCGCTGAGAGCAGTATAATGGAGTCTGTCAAATTTAAAATTCCAAACAACAAATCGAATTCTTTGAATTGTTGAACTCATACTAACAAGAACTTATACCAAACAAGAAATAGAAAACTCGATGATTAAGAAATGTGGAGACAATCATAAAAATAATCTGATGAGTGAACAAGTGAGTTAATATAACAAATAGTCTAATATATTTCACGAGAATTCAAATCTAACACCTGTGCGAATTAAGGAGTGAAAGGAATGGAAGAATTTATGGGATGATTTAATGCACTTGGACAATGTATAAAACATGATAAAAGGCACGTATATTATATTGTTCCAGTGGTATCGCATGTTATTATATTGGATAATGCAGGAATCTCACCGTAAGGATGTAATTCATTTATAAACATTTACAGCAAAATTAATAAGTCTATGGAATGAGTTCTTAGTAAAAGCTTGGAATAATGAGAAGCACCGCAATTAATATCAATCATTCCTCATGCTTCTTCTGTAATGTCAGCTCTAACAGAGACTGATTCAGTCACACTGGAAATTTGGATCGTTTCTGCTGGAGGATTTGCAAGCAGCATTAGCGTTTCTAGATTTGACACTTCAATCTGACATGACACTGCCAATGTTTTGAAATAATTCAAATCTAACAGCAGTTGTCGTCTTATTTTATTTTCGTCAGAATCAGCATTATTCTCATTTATCGCCAATGACTTTCTCTTAAAACGCTGCAAACTTGTTTCCGTTTGTTCGACAGATTTGAGAACCTAAAGCTGTTTAAATAAACTACATCAGCAAAATTTTAATAACTATTTAAAATCGTGATAAAAAATAATCAGCATGCAATGATGTTTTAAAGCATGTGGTGGTGAATTTAGAGAGCAAAAATAACAAAGACTTGCAATATTTAGTAATTAAAACTCCTTTACATAATTTAATTAAGCAAAAACTTAATAAAAAGTTGAGACTATAAAAAAACCTCCTTCGCCTTCTCGAAAAATATCTCCAGCGACTCAGCAACTATTTGTTTGTGCACAGATGTAACATTTTCTTTACTCCAACAACAATGATTCATTTCATCCTATAATTTCACAATACTGATAAGGAATAATTTATAAAAACAAAAGCAGCAATATATGGTTTCTAAAAATTTTGAAAAGTGATTTTGAAATAAACCTTAAATAATTTCAGTGCAGCCGATGTTTCACTGACATACGGTGATATTTCAACTGGGGCAGGCTTTTTCGTCCAGCGATACTGGCGAGGAATCCCACAAACACCATCTAAAATCTGAAAAGTTATGAAGTAAGTTGTTGACGAATCTCAATGCAGCTTACAGATAATAAAGTTCTGGAAATTGTACTCAAAAAAGTATCAAATTTCGTTTTAATATATTTCTAAACCTTGAACAATTATGATGGAAAGATGATAGAATAAGAGCGCTTACACGGCTAGAAGCTAATTTCTTCCATTTGCTTAAATTTTAACTCTAATACAGTGTTCTCACGCATTTCTTATAGCTGAATGTCTCCACCGTCGAAATGATTATTATTCTTCAGACACGTATAAAAGTTGCATGTTACTGTAATTGCGACCAAGAAGATCGCGGAAGTTATATTCTTGGGTAAAGTAACAGTAATATTATATAGGCTAATTAAGATGGTGTACATTATATAAACAATGAACACAGAAGGTAAATCAGCCATTCATGCAGAGTTATTTTTGAAAATAGTAGATATTGATAACAATTTCATTGCATGAAATTAAAAAGTCATGCCTTAAATTAGCAAAAGAGAAACGCACTTTTGTTAACAATTTAACGGCATCTTCAACGATAAATTTCTCGAATTCTTGCGTCTTTTCAGTTATTTTAGTTGAAAAAATCGATAAACATTGTCCAAATATTGTCACGTCCAACTGAAATTCCCCCAATAACAAATCATTGAGAAATCATGAGACAGTGTTGAGAAAAAGTCGAAAATTTCCAGACCTCATGTTCTCGAATTTTTGGCCAAATTGATGACAATGCTATTCCAAAAGTTCGACTATCAACAGTCACACAATCAGCACAGAGAGTACAAAACATACGCCAAATTTCAAAATCTTCAGGTGCCCTTTTGTCAACCCAGTAATACCTGAAAATACGTTACATGTGCTGCAAAGATCAGATGAAAATAATTTTCTTTTACATGATATTTCAAAGTTATCTAAAACAGCCACCAGATGCAATCTCACTTCTTAATTCCTTCGATCCATTCCAAATATTTGATGAGAACTTTAAGTGTAAAATCCCAAAATCTGTCAATTAAAATCGGAAGGTAAATTTCATCGGACCAAATTCTTTCTAAAGTGTCGACAACAAGTGTCGAAAACTTATAAAAGATTTTTTCTTTCCATTCTTCCTTTTCCTCATTAGCAGTTAATTTAATAACGGAAGGATCAAGCTGTTCCTTTAACTGTGACAGAAAGTGCTGCGTCTCCAGCTTGAAATACACAGTCAGATTGAATCTATTACGTATCATCCGAAGAACAGTACGTGACTTAGCGGCATCAGGCCAGTTACTAATAAAATCACAAGTTTTCTTATAGCATCGATGAAAAAGACGATTATCGCTTGGGACAACGACAGAACCAAAGTACTGAAAAGAACTTATGTGTTGGACAACAGATTTATAAGTTTATAAATTAATTTTTTTCTTTATGCCAATGCGGACAGAACCAAATTACTTGGTCAGATTTAAAATGAATCCGTCAACAAATTTATAAGTTCTTGTGTCATGAATAAGCTTATTTTTTGCAAAATTTCGATTCGGATGAGAATAATCAGCTGGAGACAAAAGGAATTAATATTTGATAGTTATTAAAATAACCTGATCAAGGGATGAAACAATAAAAGTGAGAAGGCAATTGTCCAGAAATGGTGAAATATTTGCAGACGATACACCACTATTTTCCATTTTTTGCAACCAATCTTCTCGAAGCTATAATTTAATATCACTTTGAAACCCATGACAAAAATCTAAAATGACTTCATGAGCAAATCAATTTCACTTTTAGAAGCCATGATGCAACAAAGTATCTATAAGCTACAAGTTTTTCTTACTTAGAATTAATTTACTTCAGATCAAAAATTGCAATCACGGCTTAAATTTATTTCGTACAAGAACCCTAACCAATGTGTCGAACGAATTACCTTATAAAATTCCTCTTAATCTAACGTAAAGAATGGACAGCACTTACCTTCCGAATTGTTGCATATATCTCATCCAAAAAATCTCCGAGGTTGCTTCTTGGTTCTCCAATGCGTTCAGCAATAATTTCTGTCATTACATAAGAAACAGCTGAATCAGTACTCTTATTCAATGTAATTATACCAAGGATTTGTTCAATGAAGCGACAATCGCCTTTGAGATCTTGTACAAGCCAATGCTCTGTTAGCTTACGAACACGAGTCAAACATACAGTACAAGCAGCCGCTACCTAAAACTTTATCTGTAAAATAAAAGATCAAAATAATTTGATATAGATAAATTCATTGTAATAAACCAAACTGACCTTATCATCAATAACATTCACTTTGCTAAACCATAAAACTACATCAACGACTGCATCAGCAAAACTTTGTAACCTATAAGCATCATTTACTTTATTCTGAAATTGCACAACATTAAGCCAAACATACAGTATAAGTACATATGATAGTTCATAATCTATCAATTACAATTCATTTATCAGAAAAACACACTAAAACAGCTGTCAAAACGAAATGTGTCTTAAAATTAACACATATTTAAACAATTTGGTTTTTAAGAATTAGTAACGAAAATGACATTAAATCTATGCAATAAAAAAATTGTGAATAATAAATTATGCTTCGTTATTTACACTGTGAGTAATAACAGCGAAGTTCACAGTCATAACAACTGAGCGCATTCACTGATCTGTCGTCAACATTATAACATTTATTTCCATCTTATCAAGTGGTAAAAAGCAGAATTTAATTAAAATACAACTCACCAAAATTGTTCTATCTGTTTTGGACAACTGACAATTTTATCAGCTAACCGTTCGATTGATTTTATCAAAAAAATCTGCGCACGAATTTCACACTGCGCTTTTCGACATTCAATAAGTTCGGTCGTTTTCTGTTCAGTGAATTCAGCAGATTGCTTTACAGTCTGTGTACTACTGCAGAAATCGTGCCATATTGTCTGTAAATGAAAATAATTTTCAGAAGATCTTATTATCAACTCTCAAGTTGGAAACATAAGAGATAACCACCCCTTTAAACCTGTTTCTTTCAAAAAGGTGAAAACAAATTAATGGACGCAAAAAAAATGAAACCCGCTTCTTTGTTACTTAATATTCTTTCTTAAATAAGATGAAACTCACCTCAATATCATTAGTCAGTTTGTCAATTGTTTCCTTCAATCCTACAAGATTTGATGATAAATTTACAAAATCGGCATAATCGTCATTGATGAGTTCGATCATCGAATTTTGCACAATTTTTAGATAAACTCGTAAATCATTATGAATTTGCTGTAGACTAGCTCTTCGTCGAGCCAAATTCAGGAATCTTTCCACATTGAAATCCGTCCGACTAAACTGATCCTAAAATGCTTCGTCTATAAAGCTAGTCATTATTCTTTATTAGCTAATTTCATTTCAATATCCCTATTTTATTAAATCAACAGAAAATATAAAATAACGAATAAAAGTTTAATTTCACTGAAAAATATAATTAATGAAAGAATGTTTGCGTGAAATGCTCCGTCGAATGTTCGCAGACTTAATCTTACATAAATACTGTGTAACTGTGTTTTATTGATAAAGCACTAATCTGCTTCTCAAAAAGTGCTCCGATTGTGGAAGGATTTATTACAGCTGCTTCCAACTTCATTTACGCTATTCAACTACTTTTTTTGAGCCTGCCAAGCGCAAATACAAAATATGATCTCAAACATGAAATTAAGTTAATACCTTATTAAAACAAAGATGGGATTCAGTAAGCAAATTTGACTGCGATGCAAAAATCGTATGATTCGCCTTTGTACTTCCGCCACCAGATGTTACCGCTGTTGCTGTTTCCATCCTATAAAATATAAATTAAACGACATGAAAGTTGACCATAATTGCGCACATAGGTCGTATTAATCCGTATAACATCCCTTTATTTTTTACTTGAAACAATTCAAAAAATCAATTTGCAATCTCAAAGTTCGAAAAATAATTCTGAAGCATTTCAAAACTTTAATAGCTTCATCCATCTACAAAAGAATCTATTAGACTATGACGAACACGCAGTATTAAATTTAGTACTTCTCATTTTGTATGTGATATTTATCTTTTGAAATTATAACACAACGAAGTTAAAGTAATTTAAAGTAATATTAACATTGCTTATTAATTAAATGCAAAATATTCTGAAGAAACCATATCCTCCCTATAAATGAAAAGATGAAATAAACAGTTGTATATTTGGTTAAAGTTTATTTGAAGATGAAATAGTAGAATGTTTGCTATCATCGTTTAAATTTAAGCTTTCTGCGACAGTCATATCGCAATTGTTACGATGTGAAAGGAACAATAATAATTTTAAAACGAACCATTACCTATTGATTCAAATCTTTACCAGTAATAAATGGCAAGAAAGAGGATAATGTGATGTTGAAGAAGTTTCAATTCTGCGAAGCGGAAAATATAGTGATGCTTAAATGCTGCAGTTATTCACTGGTAGAATAGCAAATTATAACAGTTACAATTATAAAAGAAATGATTAACAAATCTTCTATACAGAAATTAGTTTTGAGAGCTTTTAAAATGTGAAAGTTTGCCTAAATTTATGGCTTCGATGTAAATATTGATATTTAACTTTCCTTCATCCATATTCTCAATAGAAAAAGAATGAATAGATCAAATAGGTAAGAAGCTAACGGAGAGGTCACTGCCATAGTCAGAATGAACCTGATATAAGTTCCAATTACCTCACATGTCACATTGAATGTCCGAGTTCAGATGATGACCACTGGTGCGTAAATTAATGAACAAGACTTGTGGATGGTAGAGATGAACGAAATTAGCTCTACGCTGCATGATGAGATGAATGAAATCAGTTGCATGCTGCATGACGAATAATTACACATCATTTTGACCCAAACGACAAAAACCAATCAATACCTTTTGTTCATGCTGCATTTTAACAACAATTTAAATTCCCACACTTTGTTAAATCGTTGGCTTACTGCCGAAATGATCGTCTTAGAGTTAGGGTGGTAATTGGTGGCGGAGGTTGGTGTTTTATTGGTAGATGATGAGGTGTTCTGGTGGTTTGCGAGAATTGATCGGAGGGAGACCAAATTTTCTGAGAAGACATTTGCCCAACTGAATTTTATCGGACGTTGGCTAGCTTGACCTATTATAATTTTAGCATATTTAATGCCGTTTACCAGTAATACTGCGGAGTGATACATTTAAATCATAACTGATATTCTGATATCAGTGTTATATTTTTCAGTAATATACTCTCATAATGATATCATAAATTAGCTAGAACACTAAGCTAATACGAGTTAGATGTCATTGCTTAGCAGTGATTCGATGTATGCCCTTTTATTGCGACAGTTCGGGAGAGGTGGCTTATATGGGACGTGGATAGTACGTTGCTCATCTCAACCGATTGCCTCAAATGAGTCGTCAAGAGAGCAAGCGAAAAGTGTGGAGAATGCGGTATCACCACGACAATCACAGTCTGATTCCAGGTTCTCACCTTTTTTATTTTATTTAAACTTTGAAATAAAATCAATTAAGTTGTTGACAGGTTAGGAAATGAATTCTGAATTCACTATCCAATTAACTGTATAAATAAATGAATTTAAAATTGTTTCAATAGGAGTAGGAAGGACTAGGTCTGTTAGCCAATTCGGTTACGAATTATTCATGAAATGAAGGAAAGGGGTTCGACTCCTATTGGTGCAAGAATCGGTGTGTGGTGTTGGTTGGTTTGGGTTGCAGCTTATTGCAACCCTTCCTTCCTTCACTGGCGGAACATCGAACGTCCTCAACATATTGGGACGAGTATTCGGTCCGCCATACCGTAAATGAATCCGACCTACGTTGACACCTGGCGAGAGGCAGTCCGGAGAATGTCGTGAACGCTGCATATTCCGTATCGTAGCATAGCTCCAAGTGAGCAAGGACAGTTGGGAAAAACCATGCAGTGGACAAACCCTTTGCAAGTGATACTGATGACGAACTTTTGAATTATTGTCCTTAAACAAGCAGGCTGTCGTCTTAAAGTTTCAGTTATTTTTAGTTGGAAAGTGTTTACGTGGAGACCATCGATTTTTGTAAATTTACCCGTTGGAGTTTGTATAGTAATGCGAGCTAACCAGTTGGTCAATTGTCAAATTAGTTTATTGTTCCAGAGCTACCGATATAAAGCCTCCTAGCTGGATTGATGTGAGTCGAGAAGGAGGGCGTCGTCCGGGTACTTTTCGATCTCGCAATATCGGTTTTGACCGATTTTTTGATACCCAACGCCGAAATGAAAGATTTACTGTTCGGGAACAATGGACTCAAAGAAGCGCCTTATCCGATCGCTTTCGAAGCTCCGAAGGTTCATTTGCGTTCGCTTTATAGTTTACTTCTTTTGGTTAATACTGCAGGTAATTATAAAATAATGGATTCATTATAATTAATATATCGGCTATATTCTATTTAAGTGTTTGCTGTTAATTGTATTTTAAGAATCTTGGAGTAAAAATGTTGAAATGCCAAAAGTCGATTATAAGCATCTCAATTTACCACCCATTCAGAAAAATCTATACAAAGAAAATCCTTCAGTTACAAACAGAAGCGAGGTATTGTTTTTATTGGAACGCATTGTTACTTTTTTTTTCATAGGCGAGTGATTCTTACTATTTTATTAAAATTTATGAAGTGATTAATAAACAAACAAAATTTTCTGTAAAAGAGACTTTTTGATTAGTTAGAGTAAAGAAGATGATGGAAGGGTGTGGTTGACGCAGTGGTGGATGAGCGCAGGGCAGAACCATAGGGGTTAAGGTTCTATTCCTTGAAGTATTGTGTGGCATATAGGAACCATGTGTGAATATGTATGCCACATGTGGGCCGATGAAGTGCCTAAATCAAATCATTGTATTAAAGGTCGCAGGTAGAGGTTTTTGAATCTCTTCAGGCATTACCCAATCAATGTACAAGCACGGTTTTTGTCTGTTCAGAAGAATATGCTTGAGATGCAGCATGCGTTTCTATATCCTCGTGAAGTTTGGTCATTGTAAATTCAAATAAGTTCAGTCTTTGACTTCAGAAGGAAATAGCTGAGTGGCTTACACATAATGAAGTCACATTAAAAGGGCAATCGTCTCCTCGTCCGATTTTCGAATTCAATGAGGCAGGCTTTCCTCCAGCAATTGTAGAGAACCTCAAGAAGGCATGTTTTCAAAAGCCAACTGTAATACAATCGATATCTTGGCCAATTGCACTGACCGGGCATGATATGATCTCGATTGCTAGAACAGGTTCAGGAAAAACTTTAGCCGTAAGTTCATAAATTTGATTTGAAAATTCGGTTTTTAAAATTTATATCAGATATTCGGCACGGAAGATTAAGCTATTTTGTTTGAATCTGTGAAATTGGTAGAACATTTAAGTATTTTGGATGACTCATCGTTTTTTTTTATATTCAAAAAACGCACAAAAGCCTTTTCACCGTCATTTTCTTGATTTTTCTAGCAAGCTTTTTAATAGTTCGAAATTTCAGTATACCTTGCCAGGGATTGTACATATGCAAAAGCAACAACAGATAGAAAGTGTTCGGGGTCCCGCAGTACTTATCTTAGCACCAACAAGAGAACTGGTGCAACAAATAAGCTCGATGACAATGAACTTTCACTCTAAAGTGGCATCAGCTTATGGTGGTTCTGGACGTGACCAACAGGCTAGAACTATTCGTGCAGGTCGGTTTGGTTCCTTAAGATCTGGTGTTTTCAGCGGAAATCGTTAATTCACTATATCAGAACGGTTTTTAATCAGCCAGTGTTACACTTTGTGCCTCTTTGCCATTATTAGGCATATTGAAACTATTGAATTCAAGAGTGGTAAAGAGATTTATTAAAATAGATAACAGTGGTAAATTGATGGTTAAAATTTATATGGATCGTTTGCATCCAGATAAGATATGGCTTGGTAGTTTCGCCTAAAAAATTGCTTTCTTGCAGGAGTAGACATTTTAGCTGCAGCACCGGGTCGTTTATTAGATTTCTTGATTGCGGGTGTTTTGAATCTAAACCGATGCACTTATTTGGTATTGGATGAAGCTGATCGTATGTTGGATATGGGTTTCGAGCCACAGATACGTAGAATCTTATCCATGATTAGAGTGAGTACTTTGATTCTAGATTTTTAAGTCAATTCTTTTCAAATCAAAAGGCACCTTAAAAAATTTTTTTATAGCCGGACCGACAAACTTTAATGTTCTCTGCGACATGGCCAAAAGAAGTGCGTACTTTGGCGAAAGATTTTCTAAGTGACCCCATATTTGTTAATGTTGGGTCATTAAAACTTGCTGCAAATAATAATATCATACAACTGGTGGAAGTTATTGAAGAAAGCCAGAAAGAAGAAAAACTACTGGAGTTTTTAGGAAAGATATCAAACGAGGTTATTTCCAAAAATTTGCAGTTGTTTTAAAAATTGCCGTTACTTATTGAAGCTCATCACCGTTTTATTTTCTATTAATATTTAATAGAGACTTTATTTCGCCTTATATAAAATAATGCTCTTTGATATATTCAGCAACACTGCAAAACATTGGTTTTTGTTGGTATGAGACGCACAGCGGATTGGTTAACACGGCTAATTCGCAAGAAGGGATATCCAGCTTTGAGCTTACATGGTGATAAGTCTCAAACAGAAAGGAATTTCGTTATGAACGGTAAATTTGTTTCTCGTAAAGGGGATGATTTGAATGCGAATTATGTTGTACTTTAATGATATAACATGTGACTTAAATTTTTTTTTTTTTTGAAATTATATTTGTTGTTAGAAATAACTGCTAGTGGGAGAATCGAACGAGGATTGGCAACATGAATCTTTTCCAGAGGTCATGTTCCAATCTAAAGCTGCATTATTCCAGCGAATGGTGGATGATTTGCTGTTGATGTATGAAAAATCTTTTCTATATTTCAGATTTCAAAAATGGTGAATGCTCGACTCTGATCGCAACAGATGTTGCTGCTCGGGGTTTGGGTATGTTTAGTACTTTGCGTTTCATTAGCTTCATGAATTTTAATGTGTTATTATAAACAAAATTTATAGAGGATTGTTTCAGACGTAAATGACATTAAATATGTCATCAATTTCGACTGTCCAAAAAATATTGAAGATTACATACACAGAATTGGAAGAACTGCTCGCCATGATAAAACTGTATGTTTTTTCCCAACTTTTTAATCCATTTAAAATAATCTTATCTGTTTAAACAGCACTCTTGATTCGAATAAAGTGAATAAAGTTTGAGTATGACCTTGATTTTTATAATGACAAAGCTTAAATATGATTTTTGTTTGCACTATTTTCTTTAGGGTACTTCATATACCTTGTGCACACTTACTGATGCGCCTATAGCTAAAGACCTTGTCGACGTTTTGAAACAAGCCAAACAGACAATTCCTCCAGATTTATTGGAGCTTGGTAGCAGTAAACGTCTCGCAAAACCGTTCAAAGGGTTTGTTTTTCCCTTTTTTATTAATATCTTAAACACACAATTCTGGGGGTAATCACCGGTGGAAAATGTTTTATATTGATAAACTGCATTATTTGCTAGTTTGATTAGATTTCTCAATATATCTAATCATTTCCGATTTGTTTCAGAAGATTCTAATAATGATAATATCTGATGGAATCAATTGAGTAGAAGATAGTTTCTGTGCTGGCTAACAACCAACGATGTTTGTTGAATTTGTTGACTGTTAAAGCTGTGTAGTAGCAGTGATAAAAATATTCTTCCTTCCTGTTCAACTAGCCTCTGTAATGCGAGTGAATTAAGCTAACTCATGAAATATAACTCGCAATTTCAAAAGGTTATGTTTTACGGAATTATAAGCACGTAGAAAATATGGCAAAAGAAAAAGTATATTAACATTAAAGTGCAGTTGATATGTTATTAATATCAAACTATGACTGAATACTTCATCTTGCAGTAAATGTTGACCCTAGCACATTTTGATGACATGTCTTCTGCGATATACAAATGAATATAATTAAATTATTACAGCAAGTACAGTTGTACTTAGTTGAGAAAGGATTGAACGAGTATTAAAAATACCACCGTGGAAAGTCATGAATAATTAGAAATATTATTCAACACTTAATTTCACGAATCAGAACTAATGGTCTATTTAAGTAACAGTAATAAAACCACTCAGCAGATTACGTAGTAATTCTCCATTTCTACGAGAAACTCGATTTCCAGTGGTCTTCCTCGTTTTCATTCTCCCTTTCAATATATAATTTATTTAATTGGAATTCTCATGTTTGGAAAATGTTTTCTCACATGCAAGTAACCTAAATGATAATCCTAGACATCTAGAAGAATGAAAAACAACTTTTTATTTACTAAAATAAATTTGTTAGTAAGAGAAACATAAATAAAGGGAGACTTTTTTTACAACGGGTTTTAAATAGACCTGGGATGAGGTTTTTTCCGAAATAATTCATCAGTTAACTATCTGTAATTAGAACTCAAGAAGGCTTGCTTTTCCAAGATAACTATCAAAATTTAACCTACCCTCTTTAATTGTAGAGCTGACGCTCTTCATCAGTCAAGGGGACATATATTACACCCATTAAATTTTTTTCTGTCACATTCCCATCAACATCTTTGTCAACCTGTACAAACTGTTGAGGACCACCTTCGGGACCGACCGGAATCAGCATCCTTCCACCTTTAGCAAGCTGCTCTATCAACTGCAATGCTTTACTGTCCTTATTTCAGAAAAGTCGTATTCAACATATTAACAGTTCCAGAAGTTTTAAAATCGCGACAAATGAACACTTTACTCAAGGTAAAACATAAGGTAACATAGAGATCCGAAAAGTATATATTATTAGTAAAATTATTGACATGTAAGATTTGTTCAGCTTCTTAAATTATTTTTCGAGAAAGAATTGTATGGTTTTTGAGAATAATATACGATTTTGAAAGAAGTAAATCTGTTAAATTTAGTTGAAGATAAACACATTATCATATTTAAATGGAAACAACCTGAGCAGGAATTTCAGGTGCAGCAGCTCCAACATGAATAGCATTGTACGGTGCCTCTTTTTCATAGCCTTTCCTACCATCTCCTTTTAAAAGAATTATACGGCGATCAGTCAGTAAATCAGCATGGTGCTTCCTGATATTATTCCTTGAATCATCTACCAAAGCTTGAATATGATCTATGCCAACTACTTTTCCTCTTTCACCAACCTAAAAAACCTACTAAACTTATAGACAGTACAGAAATGATTTCAGTCATTCATATTTTTTTTTTTTTGAAATTTTGTGACAACGATTTGTTGCAAAAACTAACCATTATTGCCATACAAGCTGTTAAGTAACCGGAACCTGATCCGACGTCCAATGCTCGATTCCCTTCCTTCAGATGATCCTTTAGAAGTTCCAAAGAAGATGCATGCTAAAACTTCGCTTTCTTCTTCATTTTAACTATCAAAATTTTTTATCAAATTCAACACTAATTTAAAAAATATTTAAAATTAAATATTAAAAATACGAATCTTCTCACAAAATATTTTCCCTCTCATTTAACAAGAATTATTCGTAAAATTTTTCTCTTTTTCCAATCAATGAAAAATGAAATCACAATCATAATTACCATATGTGGAGCACTGATTGTAGCACCGTAACCGATGGAAACCGGATGATCACCATACGGTGTTACAGTTGTAAAATCACCTCGATCCACTTTTAACATAGCATCTCTCACACGCTTATCTTTGATTAAATTATTGTCTGAAAATTGATATATTACCATTATATGCATTAAACAATAGTAATTGTGATAACAAATGCCACTATAAAAACTATTCAGTTGTTATCAATAGCATTGTTTATTAATTCTCCTTCAAAAAGTACTTAACTTTTCTGATATATGATGCATTATCATGAATTCTTTTCCCAACCAATTATCACTATATAAACTATGGAACACAATTTTTTTTTTTAAAAAAAACCAATAATTACTTTGTAAATTGTTAATCAAACCAATATTGGAATCCGAACTGGACATCCAAGCCATTGCATTTCGTATGTTGCGAGTTAGTAAACGTGTTGCATCTTCAAAAATCTTCATTTTTCTAAATTTTATTTCTTCCTCTCTTTCTGATTGTAAATGTTCACCCTCTTTTTCCTCTCCTTCAATATTTGTTGAAGAAATTGTTTCGATCAGCTTTTCTCGATCCTTCCCCTCAACATCAATCCTCAATCTCTGCTGCTCCCCACTGCAGTAATCCTTCTTTGAGCTATCACAATCAGCTGTTGATTCAAATAGCGCCAATGATATACAGTTAGCAGTAATTAGTAAAAATAAACAGAGCCATGAAGATATTAATGCCACCATCAGAAAATAGCCAACACTAACCTGACAGTAACTGAATGAATGAGTGAATACAAATAATTAAACTAAGAAATGGAAACAACCATTCTTTTATTTCAATTTACGACGTCTTCTTTTCTATTTTATACCTCTTTAAGCTATACTTTATTGTCGTTGCTCTCTTACAACAGGTGGTAAGTAAGAATTTAGAGGAAATGATAGCATTGAACAACAGATATCTGATATATCGAGTTGTTATGAAGGTGTGGTGACGCTTTAGAATAAAGGAGTGTTTTTTTTTGTAAGAAATTCACTCCTTACCTGTTAGAAATGAATGACAATAATGAGATACATGGAAATAATCGGAATTTTACGTCAAATTTTTTCATTTCACCTCCGACCACTCATTCAGTCATTTATGCATTGGAATGGACATTTCAACATCTCTCTAGCAAAGGTAATTTATAAGAGAGTACTGAAATTGTGTGTGTGTGTGTGTGTGTGTGTGTGT